ATTCGAGCCGCTTAAGCTCGCGAACGCCCTTCCTTCTAGCTTTGCCTCCTTGTTTACTCATCCCCTGCCCCCTACTAGCCTCCAACTCCTCAAATAATTGCATGAGTTTACTTTCATATCCATCGCAGGACACACCAACCAACTTCGCATTCACCTTCGTTGTTTCCTCTACATGACAACACTCCAAAAGGTCATATGAAAATTCCTCCGTTTCCTCCGCATGGACAACCTCCTTGTCGGTCCCCCCCTCCTGGCCGCCATTAACCCGAAAAACACCAAAGCTTTTTCAGGCCCTAATTCTATTTCTTTTAGGGACTTAAAGTGCCTTCTGTTCTCTTGAGAGTTTTGTTTTCAAACCCCTGTTCTAGGAGGCACCTTTATACTCTTGAAAGTTGAACCGTTTGTGTAATCATCTGTCTTATTTACTAGCACCTGTTGTTTTGGTCTATTTGACAAGGCTTTGTTGGATTGAGTGGACTAAAGTAGTGGCCTCTCTTGTCTCGTGCAAAAACATAACTGATGTTTTTCATTCTGTGTGCCACGTTTATGCTTCTCTTTGAACTTCAGAGACACTGTTTGAAACCATTTTAGGATACCTGGTTGCACATTATCTGACCTGAATTGCTCCATCTATTCTCCAGAAGAGAGGTTTTTTTTCAAACCCCCTGTTCCAAGAGGCACCTTTATAGTCTTGAAAGTTGAACCAATAAACTTCGCCTCCTCCATCCTTCAGGAACAGTAAGGGTTAGTACAAGAATATTTGTGTGCTGTTCGTCCACTATGCGCAATTGCATTTTACTGCGATTGAGAAAATATCGCAAATGAATTTTACTTTGGGTTTCTTTTGTTTCTTTAGTAACTCTCATCATCTAGCAAGTTGCAAAACTGGATCCTAGTTTAAATGAGTCATGGTGTTGAACTGTTGTGCAGGCTGAGATGCCTGCAGATAGTGGATATCCTGCTTATTTGGCTGCACGTTTGGCATCCTTTTATGAGCGTGCGGGTAAAGTTAAATGTCTTGGTGGGCCTGAAAGAAATGGTAGTGTCACCATTGTTGGTGCCGTTTCTCCTCCAGGAGGAGATTTCTCTGATCCTGTTACATCTGCAACACTCAGTATTGTTCAGGTAAACAGTCTGAATAGCTCACAAGCTCATCTTCCATTTGCACTCCATGCTATTTCTTTTACTTAGTTGCAATATTTCAGGTTTTCTGGGGTCTAGACAAGAAATTGGCACAAAGGAAACATTTCCCATCTGTAAACTGGCTTATTTCTTACTCAAAGTATTCAGGGGTATGGAATTGATTTATTCAGATTTATGTTTTAAATTTGCCACATGTCTGCTGCTCAATAACTCTTTGCATATGCTGAAACTTTTGCTTGCATTCTCAGGCTCTGGAATCCTTCTACGAGAAGTTTGATTCGGATTTTATTGACATCAGGACAAAAGCTCGTGAAGTTCTGCAAAGAGAGGATGATTTGAATGAAATCGTGCAGGTATGTGTTATTTTAGTTTCTGAATGTCCTTTTGAATTACTCGTTTTCTTAATTACTCATAGGCACGATGATAGAATATCATAATCATTAAGGCGTAGTTTCCTGTCTCCTTTAAGAAGATTGTTTAGACTTGATTAGATAAAAAATACTTTTGAAGAGATTGTACAAAAGATGTACTCTTTTAAAGCGATTGTTTTCTTGTACTTTGCTATTATCGACAAAATGAATTCGTAGTCGCATCAGCCATTTACCTGAGAAAGTATCTAGCATTGAGCTCTGTCGCCTCTTATTTGTCTTGCAGTAACTTAGTAGCTTCTACTCTCTTGTAAAATTCCGCTGTAAGAAATTGTTTTAGATCCCTCTTACATTTCATTATCTGTCTTGTCCTTTTTTTCTGGTTAAAGCAAAACAATTCATAATGCAAAAGGTGGCAAAATGAAAGGCACTACCGATGTAGTAAACTTTTATGTTAAGCAGATGTATATTGTATTTGAAGTATGTTTTTTTTTTGTTTTTTGGCAGCTAGTTGGAAAAGATGCTTTAGCTGAAACAGATAAAATTACCTTGGAAACTGCAAAGCTCTTGAGAGAGGACTATCTTGCACAGAATGCATTTACTCCGTCAGTAACTAACTAACTGTCCTTGGGATTTCACTCAATTTATTGGCTTCAAAACTTATCTGAATGCTTCTTTGTCAACAGATATGATAAGTTCTGTCCATTCTACAAGTCTGTTTGGATGATGCGCAATATTATTCATTTCTACAATTTAGCCAATCAGGTAAATCAAGTCCAGTTTCTTAGGTGCAATCTCACTTTAAATTGGAGCTTTGATTGGGAGAACTCTTATTGTGTACTTATATGACGTGTTTCCTTGTGCAGGCTGTTGAGCGAGGAGCTGGTATGGATGGCCAGAAGATAACTTACACTCTTATTAAGCATCGTCTAGGAGATTTATTCTACCGTTTAGTGTAAGTGAAATTACAGCGAATAACCTAAACAAATTTCACTAGTATTGTTGTTTTTCATGCTTCCAGTTCTGATCTTTCATTTCTTTTGATATTGCAGTTCTCAGAAATTCGAGGATCCAGCTGAAGGAGAGGAAGCCTTAGTCTCGAAATTTAAGAAACTTTACGATGATTTATCTGCTGGTTTCCGCAACCTTGAGGATGAAACCCGGTAATCAAAATAGTGGGATTTTTTTTTTAGGTGAGTGAACTGGGTTATCGTGTCCTTTCAATGCAATTGAAAAACTTTATGGAATTAAGTAGTTCTGTTTGGCCCATGCTATGTGGTTTGTGTAGCTATATTTATTTTGTATGTTTGTGGATGCCCTATATTTTTTTGTTTTTGACCCGTAATAAGAGGCATCATTGGGGAATTATTTTGTATTGATTTGTCATTTGTTCTTGACACTGAAATAAGTTAATAGAATTTTGAGATGAGCAATGATTCTACACATTGCAGCCCAGTATTAATTGCTTCCTATTTCGCTTTTACTATTTCATTTTTAGTAGTTTACAGTTGCTTATCTTTGCTTTTACAATTTATTCTTTAGTAGTTTATCGTATTCCTTTTTCCAAGTTTCTCATCATTTGCCATAGTATAGAATTTGGACACTTCGATATGTGGAGAATCAAAAGCCTGAAGTTAAAAATTGTTAAATTGTCAATAAAAAATATTAATTTATTTTCACATAAACGTACAAATCATATCAATGTGAACCTTTTTATCCTAGGATTCATGTGTCAAATTGTTATTTAAAGGGAAAAAAAATATCTGTTTGTTGAAGTTTTACTAATTTGCTACTGAACTTTGAAAATGTACTTGAATATCTGTCCAAATGTTAATTGAAGGATAGTTTTGTAATATCCTCGATTAGGTATGACGTTCTCATTTAAGTCTCCTCTCGTAATAGTAGCATATGGGAAGGTCACTTGTAGCATATCATATTGGCCCATTTACTAACAATAGTTGGCCTATCTTTGGCTCAAGTTTATTAATACTTAAATCACTTTTGATCCCATGAAAAGTCCCATTAATAAACACTTCCCAAAAATGCTATTACTGTACAGTTTGTCAAAAATTTAGTTAGGATGACCGTTAAGAGAGTAGCTAAGTAGCTAAATGAGGACAACATATCTCAACTGAGCAATTGCTTAGGTGAACAAAAGTTGAAAGAGCGCTCTTTCCAAGTTTATATCCACGATTGTCAACCTTGAGGGGTTGCTCAATTGGCCAGACCTTGAGTTTGCTCCTCAATGATCACCAGTTCGAGTCCCCTCAAAACCATCGAGGTGAGTACTCGACCGTAAACTTGAAGGTCCCGTGAAATTAATCGAGATGCGCGTAAGCTGGCCGAATATCCACGATTATCAAAATTAAAAAAAAAAAATGTGACGTAACATTAAATCAAATTGTGAACCTTCTTTAATCTGTACTAATCTAATTACTAAAAATAAAGTTTCACTATGAACTATTTATCGAAGTTTCTCAAAATAAACCTTCTCTATTCATATCGAGGAATCAGTAGCATATTAGATCTTCCAGTACATAGCTAAATCGAATAACATAGCCAAATAAAATTCATATAAACTAACTTGAAAAGGAGGAAATGACCAAATATAAATAGATAAAAGAGATGGGCAAAAATTTGACTGGCACCAAAGCCTGGGGCCACTGGCAAGCAAACATAATGGGTGTTAACATCACCAACTTGAAAAGTAAAATAAGTTTTTTTATGTCCTTTTCTTTAATTTAATTTAATAATAATTCATTTCCTTTTAGGCCAAACTCATTATGCTTTGGTAAGACTTGGTGGTTTCTTATCTCTTTGAAGAAAGCAACCTTTAAAAAGAAAAAAGAAAACATTTATTTATATTATATGTAAGTGAACCAAATCGATAGTGAAAAATAATGTAATCAATTTTTAATTTATCGAGAATGCAGTTTAGTCATCATTGCAAGGCATGGTCATTTAAATCAGTATAGACGATATTGTTATCAGTAATTTTACGTTTTGTAAAAAGATAAACGAATTACATACGAAATTGAGAATTACGTATTATCGACAATTAGTTTTTGATTTGATGGGATGCAATCTCATTCCTTGTATGTAAGGGTCAACATGGTCCATTTAATAAAATAATTTAAAAGTCTCAGTAAGGTTTAGAATATATTCGTGTTTGTACCAAATGGCACTAAAATATATTTGATTTCCTGAACCTTTTAAGGTAATCACATGAGTTGATTCTTAATTATCCTAATTTAAGGAAAATAAATCTGGTGTTTATTAATTGTAAATTATAGTGCATGAACTTGGATTTTAGTTGCTATTAGCACACAGAACTCTTGGGTCCATCCATAGTTTTGTATGTTGGAAAGTTGGAAAGCGGCTATGATTTTTCATGGACAAAACCTGTTCAAATTGTCAATTATTTGTTTGCAATAAAGTTACCAACTTTCAAAAGGTTAAAATTCACTACTGAGATTAAAAAAATGTTTCTAAGTGTATCGATAATTTTCTAAAAGTGTTTTGTCGAATTAGAATTCAACCAACATAATCCAAAGCGACTTCTTTAAGAAGCTCTTTTAAAAAAAGCAAACAATTATACTTCTCTAAAATTTATCTTAGATANAGTGTAAGTGAAATTACAGCGAATAGCCTAAACAAATTTCACTAGTATTATTGTTTTTAATGCTTCCAGTTCTGATCTTTCATTTCTTTTGATATTGCAGTTCTCAGAAATTTGAGGATCCAGCTGAAGGAGAGGAAGCCTTAGTCTCGAAATTTAAGAAACTTTACGATGATTTATCTGCTGGTTTCCGCAACCTTGAGGATGAAACCCGGTAATCAATTTTTTAGATGAGTGAACTGGGTTATCGTGTCCTTTCAATGCAATTGAAAAACTTTATGGAATTAAGTAGTTCTGTCTGGCCCATGTTATGTGGTTTGTGTAGTTATATTTATTTTGTAAGTTTGTGGATGCCCTATATTTTTTTTTGTTTTTGACCCGTAATAAGAGGCATCATTGGCGAATTATTTTGTATTGATTTATCATTTGTTCTTGACACCGAAATAAGTTAATAGAATTTTGAGATGAGCAATGATTCTCTACACCGCAGCCCAGTATTAATTGCTTTTATTTCGCTTTTACTATTTCATTTTTAGTAGTTTACAGTTGCTTATCTTTGCTTTTACAATTTATTCTTTAGTAGTTTATCGTATTTCTTTTTCCAAGTTTCTCATCATTTTCCATAGTATAGAATTTGGACACTTCGACACGTGGAGAATCAAAAGCCTGAAGTTAAAAATTGTAAATTTTCAATAAAAAATATTAATTTATTTTCACATAAACGTACAAATCATGTTAATGTGAACCTTTTTATCCTAGTATTCATGTGTCAAATTGTTATTTAAAGGGAAAAAAATTTCTGTTTGTTGAAGTTTTACTAGTTTGCTACTGAACTTTGAAAATGTACTTGAATATCTGTCCAAATGTTAATTGAAGGATAGTTTTGTAATATCCTCAATTGATTAGGTATGACGTTCTCATTTAAGTCTCCTCTCTTAATAGTAGCATATGGGAAGGTCACTTGTAGCATATCATATTGGCCCATTTACTAACAAAAGTTGGCCTATCGTTGGCTCATGTTTATTAATACTTAAATCACTTTTGATCCCATTTTGAAAAGCCTACAAAAAGTCCCATTAATAAACACTTCCCAAAAATGCTATTACTGTACAGTTTGTCAAAAATTTAGTTGGGATGACCGTTAAGAGAGTAGCTAAATGAGGACAACATATCTCAACTGAGCAATTGCTTAGGTGAACAAAAGTTCAAAGAGCGCTCTTTCCAAGTTTATATCCACGCTCGTCAACCTTGAAGAATTGCTCATTGGTCACACCTTGAGTTTGCTCCCCAATGGTCACCAGTTCGAGTCTCCTCAGAGCAACTGAGGTGAGTAACCGATCGTAAACTTCAGGACTTCGTGGGATTAGTCGAAGTGCACGCAAGTTGACCCGGACATCCACGATTATCAAAAAAATAAAAAATATATCCACGCTTGTCGAAAGTAGCTAAAGCTGATAGGAGTTTCTTGGATATTTACTCCAAAATATTATACAAATACAACATTGATTTTGCATATTCCAACAAGTTGGAAAGGAAAAATACCCAATAACATTTCCTTGCAGGAGAAGTGTTACAATTACAAAAGCCAACATTGAATAGGAATCAAGTCTCAATTCTCCAAAAGAAAAAAAGAAAAAAAAAGTTAGTCTTAAGAGTCACATTAATCGTCAACAATGCATCATGCTTCCACAATCTCATGGGATGTTCCAACATAAGTGATTTTACATATCTTCTGACTTCAGACGGGGAATCTTGCAGCAGTCAACCAGGTCCAACTTTAGGAATGTCGTAATGTTCGCTCATATTTGCTAGATACTGGTTGAAATCCTCAATACGGTCACGGTGCGATTTATTAGATGTCTTTGCCAGCCTATGCATGTCAATTTTATCCCTTTGATCCATGTAGCGTCTTTCTGCTGGGGTAAGATTGTCGTCCCAATTAGCACCATTTCTATCCTCAGTCGATTTTTTTGCTTCATTGGCCTCTTCCTTGTTGGAATCAATTAAGGCTTCTTCACTTCCACCTACACCAAGCGATAAGTAAATACATCATCCACACAATTTGCTCCTCATTCACAACTAAATCTCATATCAATGGATTTCAAGATAATCAACTGCAATAGTGATTTCAAGGCCAAATAGATTCACATCAAACTGCACTACTTTGCCCCTCATTCACAACTAAACATGGTTAAAATTTTTTTACTACACATGGACTACTCAAAGGTCTATGATTTATTGCTCAATCCTCTGTCCAAAAGAACAATAGATACTCATAATTGTCTTCAACATGGTACTCGATGAGCTGTGCTTTTAACCAATGTGAAGTAAGCACAATATAAATATGTTTGACATGGCACAAGTTGAAGGAATGTCAAGTATGGATCAAGAATTTCAAGATTCAATACATAGCACAACTTCATTGGCAGCGCCTAGTATAACAGCCCAACCAGATGTTCTAAAACTGTCGTTAAGGATCCTAAAGTCTATAAATCAATTCACAATCTAAGATGCATGCAAATAATATATTATTTTCCCTCATCACACTCATTCTTACATCATAAATAACATTGACAACTAAAACAAAGACAAAACAATGATATATTTTCTAGAAACAGATGATCATGTAACAGGTAGAGACTATTTAATAAAAACTTAAACTCTTAACAAGCATTTTTTCTCCACTATCCTTCCCCACACATTGTCCTCACAATTTAGTTGTTATAACTTATAAAACAGGCACACCAATAACTTCAACGGACACAACTAAACAAACCACAATGATTGGAGTAGATTGGCTACATGAGTTACCATTACTCAACTTAGACAAAAAGAGAAATAGTTAAATGAATTTAAAACATACAAGGACACATATAAATAAAATAAATGTGCCCCAACCTTAGCTACTAACATTCCCAAATTGATTAAGGCCTTGTTTGATAGGCCAAATTTTCCATGGAAGATGGAAATTATCCCACAAATTTTCACTTTTTAGCTTGTTTAATAGGAAATATTTTCTTGGCAATTGCTTTTCTCATTTTCGGTCATGTGAACCTTTATTCTACAAAAATGAGGAATTGAAATTCCATGGGTGAGCTAGTTTTTTGTTTTCTTGACACTTGAAACAAACCCATACTTTCCCTTTCTTCTCACACCACTCACCATTCCCATTTCTCACCCTCTCCGCCCAATTTCTGGAATAGCCACAAAATCGACCAAAAAAATCTCAGCATAATACAATTTCCATGGAAAACAAAGCCAATCAAACATCAAAAGATGGAAATTTCAACATTTTCCACCGGAAAACTATACCAATCAAACACAATTATTTGACAATTCCCAGTAAAACAAGTTTTAGGCAATTCAATTATCTGAAATTCGTTTTCTTTCTACCCAAATTCCATTCTTGCAATCAAACGAACCCTAAGTTGTTTTGCCTACGTGAAGGATTTACTTTCAGGCTTTTTCCAGTAAGTTCAACTAACCTTCTGGAAACTCATTTTCTAAGACCTCGGAAATTTGCTCGTGGTGCTTCTTTTGCTTCTTCTTTTTCTTCACTCCACCTGCTTTCACATCCAGAGCCTTCCCCTTCAGTTTCAGCTTTCCACCAACAACATTATCAAATGCAGACATTTCTCCTGTGTAAAAGAGTATTAACCATGAAATCAAACCTTG